CAGTATTGTCCATTTTTCCAAGCGCTTTGGCCACTTCTTTAGCCATTTTCAAGAGGATTGTTAATGTCTCTTCATGTTTTTAACTGTTTAAGATGTTTATTTGTGTTGTTTTGTACGAGCGATTATTCCGAGCCTTCACATGTTGCGCGTGGCTGGAATTCGAGTGTGCGACTTTCTATTTCAACTATATATATATATATATATATATGTGTGTGTGTGTGTGTGTGTGTGTGTGTGTGTGTGTGTGTGTGGTGAGAGAGAGAAAATACAAATTTGGATCTTATCTAAATCGGTGTACATTTCTACACTACCGTGCAAAGGAATTAGAATCACGGCATCCAAAGAAATAAATCAGTTTTGCTGGCATTCCTGTTACCTTAGCTGTCTCCCCCTTAGCCACATCTTGTCGAATACAAACGATGGTCAAACGCTTTTTTTATGATTAGTTATCTTTGATCGTATTTACAATCAGAATAATTTTGTTTTCTAAAGCAAAACGAGCTTTTGATATTCCTTGTTTTCGTAATTGATTGCATCGATCAATTTCACTCTCTAGAAATCGGATGGAGTTAACTGCAAAGATATAGCTTTTAGGGTTTATTATTTACAAAAAAAAAAGGGATTTTTTTTTCTCTAAGAACATTCGTTTTTATTTGTTAGTTTCGTTTTAATTCTAACATCATAATATAATAATACATTATTATTTCATCTGTCTTTGTGGCTGGAACTATTTTAGTTGTGAAAATAGCTTTAAATAGTATTAAACTTTAAAATAGGCTTTCAAAGCAGACAGGCTTGTCCGAGACAAGCGAGCGTCTCCGCAATTCTTCTACTAATGTAAAGCGATATTTCGCACGCTTCTCTCACAAAAAAGTTCAATATTGTAGCCAGTATGATTTTCACACTATTCCCAACTAACAGTCAGTATCAGTGAAACTGAGTAAATAATTACAAATCTTTCTTCCACTTATTTTTTTCTTACTTACTGTCATGCTTACCGTAGTATTATTATCCTAATACCGGAAGTAGTTGTCACCTGTGATCAAGTGATATAAACACTATAATAGTAGTAGTGGTGATGATGTTAAACTTTTCATTTATTGCTATTATTATATTTGATATCCTCTCCGACTCTAAGATGTTTCGACCGAGGGACGATGATATATCGCAACTCCCATCCAGAGCTTAGAAGCACAACTATTTCTACAGCCTCTTAACTGTTTCCAAAGATGCATTCTGCGAAGTAGAAAGATCCTTGGTAATAGCTCCGGGTGTGGCACCAACAAAAACGACGACTTGAGCTGCTACCTAATAGATTTATCTGATTTGATCTTCCCGGTCTTAGTAGGGATGTATTAATCATCCTCGAGCTACTGCAAAGTCTATCAGGATCTATTCATGGTTGTTTTTCTTCACAAGTGTAACATCATGGTGATTACTCTCCAAGCGTTTGTTAGCCAAGATGGTCGCATCTTACATGAGATTCACTTGCTCTTTCTCAGCTATTGACGATGATGACTCTTGGTTGCTATTATTATTAATAATAATTAAAAAGAAAGGCAGATAGTTGATCTTATTGTTAATGGTCATGATAATAATATCCGGCATGTATTTGCCAAACAGCTACTGCTACTATCGGTTAAAAATTTATAAAATCTTTCTATTAAAACAATATTTCAGGAAAGTAGTTTTCTTAAGTATTGTAACTCTTATTGGTGGGAGCTTCCTTCATAATCTTTTGTTTGAGGTAGTGTTGAACGTTAACATCTTAATTATATAATTATTTCTTCTTCAAGTTATTTCCTCTTTAGTTGTTGCTGTTGTTGAATGTCATCAATTGATGGAGGGGATACAGTTCTTTGTTGCGATTCTGTAGAACCAGTTCACAGGGTGCAAATAATATGTTCCTTGCTAAAATCGCTTCTACTCTTAACTATCGGTCTGACAAAACGGTTCTTTAAAGCTATTTAGATATTTCTGAACGTGTTTCGCGCTTTGCATGGCATCCATATGAAAATCCTTATCTGACGAGGTTATTTAAGAACATAACTCGAATGTTTACCTTAATCATTTTAGAACATGACACAAGTATTAATAGTATTAATAGTATTGTATTAGTATTATTCTATTTATAATGCTAGTATTCATATATTTGTAACAGTTATAATGTTAAACTTACCATTACCACTGTGTCAAATTTTCACCATAACAATCTCTGTCTCTACTAAGGAATGAATTAGTTTACTTCAAGAAGGTAGGAAATTCAATTCACTTGCTCAGGTTCAGACCTGACTTCTTCACATCACTTCCAGAATGCAACAGCAAGATGAGGTCCTTGGTAGCCGTGAAAGAACTAGATTTAATGATAGGCCAGGTCAAAGCTTTAGTACAAGGGATCCTCTTCTCATGCATTGGACTGAATTTAGATTATTCTTTCTCTTATACTGTTCTTTAACCTATGGCTAGAATAAGATGGATTTCTGTCTTTTCCAAAGGAATAACAAGGTGTAATATCAAAGCATTTATCATTATTATTATTACTATTTCTGGTTTTATCCCACGTCTCAACAAGGGACTTCAACAGACAAGTTTTTTTTTTGTATCAAAAAATTCAAACAGATGAGGTTCTATACAATCAGGGGGGAAAATATGTTATTGTTGTCACTGAATGGAGAGAAATCTACACAAGATGAAAGAAGGATTCATAAGTATTATTTTTTGCAATTCCAATATTTTAGGTTCTGCTAGAAATTGGCATATTTGTTTTCTCCATTTGATATCATTCCAAAAGCTCCAACAACAACAGGTAATATTGTCGTCTTCAGATGCCACATTGGAGTAGAAGAAGCACTTACATTTAACTGTTTCGACAGTAAAAGAGTGGGACCGAGATGCCAACTCAATAGTCCGTTAAAATCCATCCAGTTGGCGCACCATTGAAAATAGCTCGTCAGAGCAGATGCCATGGAAATATTTCTAGAAAAGACAGAGGGGAGCTACATTACGCCGTTGAGAAAGTGACTGGGGTCGTGACCTAAGTCAGGACCGATTACATTGCATATCCGTCTTTGGATTTTGTCGAGAACCTCGAGATGAACAGCGGGGGCACCCGACCATATTTGGCAACACCATTCCATGCATGGGTGAATGGTAGATTTGTAGATGTCACACGAGAAAAAAAACCTTCTTTCGCGCCACCCGACTTTCTTGTATTTACTTAGTTTCTCAAACATTCCCAAACGTGTTTTTGTTATCTGGGGTTACAAGCTTTATCAGAAGATATGTTTTCAACTTGGCTTTGTACAATTATGTCTGATCGATTTACCTGGATTTCACATCAGTGTGAATGCTGAAATTCCTGAGAATGGTAAACTCATTGTTCTTTGTAACTTGTAGTTTATGTTCCCACCAGTATTCTTTGCTAGTGAGGGGATGGGAGGTGAATGCGTGACATATTGCTCAGTGTATGTATTAAGCAGCCCTGTCATGTCGTTAATTACTTAGCTGGGGCCAGTAGGCCACACCCAGATATTATGTGCTCCATTGCCTCCTGATGTTCTCCGCAATCAGGATAGTTTATTACACTGTGTAATAATTTTTTTTTTTTTACTTTTTTTTTTTATCTTTGGTCAGTAAGGGTTATTTCCTAATTGCTTATGTCTAGAAGGCAAAGAAAATGATTATTATTCCTTTCAAACTTTGCTTTTTGACCTGGACAACGATGTTTTGAAAGTAACCTAATTTTGCATTACATTCCAGACAGATTCAACGCTGAGTTGCTGAAGGAGAATTTTCTAGAACTGTCTAGACGTTCCAAGAATTTCTAGAAGTTTCTAAAAGTTTCAAGATTTTATAGAACGTTCTGACTACCAAGGATCGTATAAGGAAAACATCACGATTAACTACTAATTTTTCATGGTCTCTCTTGTGGAATCCTAGATTAAATAAATGTTACTTTTGAATTATATGTCGTTTTGTTGCTAATTTGCATGAACGAGAATGTCCACATTCGCCAGTTCTCCCAATTAGAATAGGTAAATTTCAGAAATATCGTCATGCTGGTCATAAAATCAAAGTTCGTAGAAAATATTAGCCATTTTTTATACTTTCTCTGCGTAAGCAAATAGGAAATAATAGTTATTACCGAAGGACAAAAATTGTGTTACATGGTGTTGTTGTTGTTATTATTAATAATAATAATTAAATAGACAATGACAATAATTAAATAGGCAATGACTATCTTGCTTGTAGAATGGATAATTTTACAATTGATTTTTTAACCTATCATTACTTTTATTGATGATAACCGTGTTGATATTTTAAGTATCAACGTGGACACCATCATCATTTCTTCTTTCTTTTTTCTCATTGTAAAATTTACTCCCTTGATTCTGGGGATAGAATCGTGTGTAAAAATAGATAAGTAGCCGTTGGAAAATAGGCAAACTTCTTTCCCGACATCTTTCAGTCTTAGCCATAATGCTAGCTGCGCAACACTTCTATATTAATGCAATCAACCAATTCCGGTGATCGAAATGCCGACGGCTTTTTCTCAAGGCTAACTTTGATGATGTTTTAAATGTGTGTGTTTTGTGAATTAGTATTCTCTATTTGCTTCTATTTTTGGTAAACAGCGTCATTATAACTTTGTCTCATTTGTTTGGATATTAAAAGCTGCAGGGTAGAAAGAAGTATTGAAATATAATTACTTCTCTCTTCAATTAGTTTCGCCTCTTTTGTTTCAAAGTTATTTTTTCTCTCCGTCTCTTTGGGATAGGGGAATATTATTCCCAATTATTGGGATCTTGTTACAGAAAGGTTTTTACTGGTTTTTACTCATATGAGTTTCTTACTTTTTCCAAATGGACATCAACAGCAATGAAATCTCACTTATATATTTCTTTATTTTTTCAATTACTTACCTTCATATAGATATATCTGTTTGTATACAATTTCTCGATTTGCCTGCAGGGGAAATCGATAAAACCTCCTTCCTATAGATTCGCAGAAAAAAAGGCTAAAGGATTTCAATCGAAATCCTATCTATCTATCTATCTATCTATCTATCTATCTATCTATCTATCGCAATCTGTACATATCTATCTCAATCTGTTCATATCTGTCTATCACTTTTCCTCTGTCTCTCTTATATATATATATATATATATATATATGTGTGTGTGTGTGTGTGTGTGTGTGTGTGTGTGTGTGTGTGTGTGTGAACATTGAAGTCAACACTCAGAGGTACAGGCTGTTTCATGGTAGACGCAATCTTCAGGCCGGCCTGACGATTGTGTATAGCATGAAACAGCCTGTTGCCTCTGAGTGTTGACTTCAATGTTCATTTTTATAATTACCTACGCTCTATCTCTGATATTGAGCACTTTATCCCATAAATATAGCACACCTTAAAACTCTATTTCTTTATATATATATAATTCCAAAATTCGGTCGTAAATGAAACAGTACTAGGGATTTTAATTTAATTCTATAATTAAATTTGAAGTTTTTAGATTCTGTTTTTGAAACATGGTAATTCTTGTGTTGCGATGGAACCATATTTTTAAACTAGTAAATTTATAATATTTATGCTTTGAAAAATTGTATTGAGCGCTGTTTTTTTTTTGTTTTTGCTTTTTGTTTTTTCATAAAAATAATTAATAAGAACACCGGATTATAAATCTTACTGTTCTTTTCTTTTATTTTTATATATATATATATATATATATATATATATATATATATATATATATATATATATATATATATATCACCCGATGCAAGGCTTATTGCCTTACATTGGTTGATACCGATTTAAAAATATCTACTAAATTATTTACATTTCGTATTATTTACGATTTAAGTATATGAATATCAGATCGGAAGCATTTACTAAATTAAAGTCTTTTACATTCTTTTAAATTCTTCGTTTCTTTTTTTCTTCTTCTATGAACCCTACCTCTGACAGCACGATGGGCGAAACAGCCTTTTGTTTTCTTGTTAGCGGATATCAGTGATTTTTTCTAAAAGAATTCCTAAGGTGATTAACACAACGGTCAATGCTCTTCTATATTTTCTATTTTTATTTAACAAAACAAAAGCAAAAATAGTGATGAACCTATACTGAGAATTCTTGGAACTTCAAACGATATAAGAAGATAGGATAACATGTGACCGAAACAGAACGCCAAAAAAATAAATAAATAAATAAATGAGGTTTATAAATTGAATAATTCCTGGATTTCCTTCCAAAAGTTGTTTTGAACTGCTAATCTCAGCGCGGAAAAACGTGCAATCAATTTTACACTTTCTCTCGTGTCTATCATATTTTCCTTGGTCTAGATGCGTTTAAATATTAGCAGTGATTGGGGTATAGTGATACGGAACATCTAACACGTTATGCGAAACTACCCCTTTCGCATGATCCAACCAGTATTGACCAGTTGAACATCAGGCCAGCCAACATGGAAGTGACTAGTTATCCTGTTTGAAAAGCTATAAACAAATACAATATGGAGTAGCCATACGAAAAGTTGTGTTTCTATTTCAAGTGGAGTAAAATTATAAATGGTTGGTCAAAAGAAGAAAAAATCAGTAAATATATCGAATTAATCCATTTAACTGGTAACGGGAGCAAGAAATGACTCCCTTTTAATCGTCTTAGAGAACCATTTTCGCCTTTCATTAGTGTGGCTGATGCTAACCTTCTTACTCTTTGCGGGCTAACATTGTCAGGCTGGCATGAAATAGAAAGATTATAGTAAATCAATTTCTAAGATTGCTGCTAGAAAATTTGATTCACTGTCATGCCAGACAAGGTTTCTCGTCAGAATCTACCATTTATAAATCTACCATTCCTCAATGTATTGAATATTAATGCCACATCTGGTTTGATAAAATCCAATGAATCCGGAATGTTATTAGTCCTGACCTGGCATCTCTGCTTCAATCATGTTCCCACCGCCGCAACATAGCTTCCCTCTGTCTTTTCTATAAATATTTTCGTTGTAATTGTTTTGATGGGTTTTCTTCTTTGGTACTTCTACTTTTCGAATTTAAGCGCAATACTAGATTGGCAGGTAGGTCTCACCATTTTGCAGTTGGAATTTCTAGATATAAACATATATTGTATGCTAAAAGTTTTTTTTTCTCTCACTCTTCTCTTCCGGCTTCTCGCTTTACAGTCAATTTTGATGTTCAGAAATTTAACTCAATCGTTATCTTTTGTCTTTTTAATTTATGTTGTTTTATTATTCTCTCTCTTTAAATGGTTTTCTTTTCCTCATATCCATTTCCACTCAGTAAAACCTTTGCGCCTTAGTGGTTTTATTGCTTTGCTTGGAGTGAAATTATTTTTAAATTGATCCCACTATATCATTCAAAAGAGAGCATATTACATAATTTACACAAAGGGTTGCTTCACAATTCGTTCTATGTTATACTAAAAATCACACTATATTGAAATTGACGCTAACCTGATTTATAGATTTATCTCCAATTCCTATATACACAGTTTCTTCCAATTTTACCACCGCCAACAATTCTCCGGATTTTATGCAAATCAAAGAGATGGTCTTTTCCCCACGATTTACTTCGCATATAGTCTGATATATGTGACATTTCTACATCCCCTCCCCGGTTTCGGCGGGTGAAGTTTCAAAATAATATTAGCTGAAGCGCCAGGAGGGTGGTCATCCTCCCAGGTAGTAGCTCTCCTTCAGAGCTGGAGTTATTACCCAGCGCTTGAGGTATCTCTAAAAGGAGAAGCCCTGAGGAGGCTTCAGCAATTTTACCACGGCATAGCCGTTAAAACCACTTTCGGGAGCGACGTGGACTCACTGAAACATCCCTCGCCTAGGGATATGGCTTTCCTATATTTCCATCAAATCTGACTTTCAGGTAGTCAAATGCTTTTACCGTTATATTCTATTCAACATCTGAAGGTGATGTTATATATGCAGTGCATAATCATCAATTCCTATAGTGAGGAATCATCTTTAGTAAGTAGGGTGTAAAGAGATAACCAGCCTGAATATGAAGTATTCACACACCATCTGCATTTCTTCACTTACTCATTTCATAATTTTTTTTTCTGCACAGCAGTAAAACATTCAAAAGAAATAGATTATATATATTGGAGAACATATATTAACAAGAGGAACACGAACACGCGAGCTAAAATATAGAGTCGTAATAATCAAGGAAGTAAAGAAAGCTAACTCTCTGTAAATGTTTTAACAAACGAAGGAAAGTGTGCCACAGAAATACAAAAGTAACGTGCATTGAAATAACGAAAGGTGCTTTCCCAAAACCAAACAAAGTATTAAGAAACACAAAAATTTCTTTAGAAACAAAGAAAAGAGCCCTGAACTGTTATACAATACCAGTCCTCCTGAATGCTGAACAATCTCCTCGCAGATTAAGAAGAGACTTGGAGCAACAGAAACGTAGTTCTATAGGAGGATGCTGAGAATATCATTGATTGTACATGTAAAGAACATTTTTAAAAAGAAAATGGGAACCCAGTGAACAATTAGAAAATGGAGATTTTGACAGTCACAGAACAAAATGAAGGCAAGAGAGACAGAGGGAAACAGCGAATAAAAAATGTTTATGTAAATCGATGTCAGAACAGAGACTAGGAGGAATAGAAAAAAGACAAATATTACTTTGAACTGCAAAGACTCATAATTATCCAAGAAATATATTGAATAAACCAATCTCATATTTTATATAATTCCCTATTTTATACATAAGCTTACTCTTTATCCTGTTCCTTACTAAGAAATGTTTACCAGATTGTATGCACACGAACCGGACTCATTTTTTTAAATAATTTCATCCCAAGCCAGTTAATAAACCCACTAGGTCGTAAGAAGTTACAGAGAGTAAAAGAATATGAGAAAAGGAAAAATGTTATTAAAGAGAGAAACAATAAATAAGAAGCCAGAAGATAGCGATTGACATTACGTCTAAATTTTGGAAGCTCAATGTTGACTTGGAAGCATGGAGCCGGAAGAGAGTTGCACAAGCAAGAAGTGCGATAGAAGAAACTGTTAGCATAGAACTTACGGTTACATCTAGCCGTTTCAAATGTAAAATGATGAGACCTTACCACCCATATAGTACTGCGCATAAATTCTACGTACCATAGAGGAAAGCTCATCAGAATTATTAGCATGGAAATTTATTTATAGAAAATTCACGGGAGCTACATTACGGCAGTGGAAAAGCGAATGAAACCGAGATGACACGTCACGACCAATAATATTGCAGATTCCTCTAAGGATTTTAGCAAGAATCTCTAAATATATAGCAGGAGCAACAGTAAATTATCAGTAAGGTTTCTGTCAATATTATTCACTCTCTAGCAAAGTACTTTAATACTTAGATCTTATCGCAAATAGGACCAGTGTAATGTGTTTTAGGGTTAGTATTTCTCTTTACATTTGATGAAGGCCGTAAAAGGAATCGAAAGAACTGTTTGTTTCAGAACAAAAACAAGAAAATAAAATGATGAGTCAGGACTCTTGAAATAATAACGGTGAATGTTAAAAACCTTATTTTAAGAAACTTTCTCAAACATTTTTATTTCAGAGTAATCGATTTGAGAACATATAAAAATCTCTTTTCATTTCGTTAAATAGAAAAATTGAATTTCTTTCGGAAATGACGCTTCGTTGTACATCATATGTTGAACTATATATTAAATAAATCCTTTTATATATAACATTAGCATTATTAAATAAATGCAATTATTTTATTTTTCTTATTCGAAGTTGATTAGCCCAGCTGTATAAACGTCATCGGCAAACCAAATGGGATTTTTTAAGACAAATTAACGATCATTGTGCGTGATTCTTTGCTTGATTTCGCTAGCTAATTAGTCTTTCGTTTTATTTTATATTTCTTAAATTTGATTTTTTTTTTTTCATTTTATTCAATTATCGGTTGTACATGGGGAAATGATTTTGTCTGAGAAAATGTCACTTGTTTTATGCTTCCAATATCTCATATCTGAAAATTTGTTACAATGAGGACGATTGCAAATAATCTTATATATAAAACACAACAGTGGTGCGTATGTCCACGCGGAATCATGAAATGTAATTAAATGCACACAAGTCATTAAGGCAAATAAGTGACTTTAAATAAAAACTGCTTTATTGTTTGCATCTATCAACATGTTTCTTATATCTTTTTTTAAAATCATTTCACCCCAAGCATGGCAATACAATCTTTAAGACGCAAAGCATTACTGTGTGTAAGAGAATATGAGAAAAATAAGCCAGTCAGTTATGTGCCATACGGGATACACGCTTAGGCGATCGTATATCTTTCGACATATGACTGACGAGGCAGATTTTTTCCCCCGCAGTAAGTTGCCATTTCTTTCTTCGGTAGACCAGCTGCCATCCAATGCTATAGAATCCGGTCTTTCCTGCTATTTACCCATAGCAGAAGAGGATTCATACTTTTCCCAAGGGTATTAGCACGTAAGTGAATGTAATGGATTCGACTGGAATTCGAACTCGGCTCTCCGATTCCTCGATCCGAACCGCTATCTATTACACCACCGTGCCTCCGACGAGAAAAATAAAAACATTATTAAAGAGAGAATGATAAAAGAACGTAAATTAAGAAGACAGAAAATAATGATTGAAATTACATTTAAATATTTGAAGAGCAAAGATGAATGGAAAGCGAGGAGTTAGAAGTGTTCCACAAGTGGGGGTTAGAAGAAACTGTTAGCATAGAACTTACGGTTACATGTAACCATTTCAGCTGTAATATAATGCTACGAATATCTTGTAATATAATGATAGAAGCAACCATACATAGTAGAAACACCAGACAAGATGTGGAAACAATATTCAATGAACGGATGAATGTTAGAGTTATAAATATGTGATGAAGAATCTGGCGAGAAAAATTATCTAGGAGGACACAATAAACTAACATTCCTTGTATCATACCTAGCAATTGATTCAATATAATCTTTCAATTTCATGTCAGCGAAAAACGTTAGTCCAAGATGGCGCAAAGAATCATTTCCCTGGAGGTTAGCATCAACCATGCTGATGGGAGATAAAAAAAAAAAAGCTTCTCTCAACTTTGACGTTCTTGCTTAATGGAGATAGATAATTTGAATATTCAGCTTTGTAAAACTTTAAGTATTGTATTAATCCCCAATTCGGTATTTGATGATTTCCCTAAATAACCGATTTTTGTTGCTATCATTATAATTAAATTGCTTAGTTATTAAATAAAAAATATCCCGCTCTGAAAATGCTAATCACTTTAGCATTTAAATGACAGTTTGAAAATAAAGGGCAGTAAGC